GTTTATTCAAATACAGTCATGTCATCTTATTCTGGTTGTTGCACAGTGGTGAAGGGTGGGGTTTCATTTAACTGGGGCTTATTTTTAGCATACGGCTTATAGTATGAATATCCTGAAAAATCATACTAGGGCTTATTTTCAGGTTAGGGCTTATTTTAGGGGAAACAGGGTATTTATAAGTATAAATAAATATACTTATTTATGGAACAAATATATTGCCACACACTTACTTTTAACTCCTTCCAGTTGTTCCTCGCCCTCCATTTGAACAGCTCTGAGTATTAAAGCCAAAACAAGGCACAGACAGATAACACTACATTTTTCAATATATATATTCTACTATCTTTGTGTGTTTGTGTGTGTGTACACACACAGTTTACCAGCTTCCAATATCAGCAACTTTCCATAATCTATACTATGCTTCAACACTTCTTGTCAATCTGACCTATTTATCTGTCATGTATTCATTCATTCCACCGATTAATGCTAATCAACTCCCAAACACTTCTAACAAAATCAGAATGCATCATACTGCATCAAGTGTATTTATGTATATAGACCTTCTTAAATGAAATCGGGCAGAATGCAGCTCAAGTATCAGCACAAAATGAATAAAAACAGAAGACAAGATGCATAAGGGCATTTTGGCTTGGAGAGTGTGGTGCAATCATGCCATGTGCTTTACAGTATGGCTGTTGGGTGCAATTTTGTCATTTTAAGGAAATGCATTATCAGTTGCTGAATTATATCCAACTACATGACATGGCAATTTCCTAAGATACCAATCCCCTATGTGTTGCAATATCCGAAGTGTTAAGAAACTCATCATGAACATTACAGTAGCAGCAATAAAACATTTACCATTATTCTGGCTAAATGATTTGGAAGTCAGTTTTTCAAGATCAGCATTTGCTTAGACACAGCAATGATTACATTATACGTTTTATTTAAAAAGTAATTCACCATACAACATAAATTTCACACATAAGGATGGGGAGATAAATATCAGTGCAGATATTGCCGGCTCTAACTGGCCCCATGGCCTCTCTTCCAGCTGGAATAAATCCACTGTGAGATGCTTTCTTTGAACAGAAATTAATCCTGTTTACATACTGTACCCTTTTAAACTGAAACCAACCTATCTCCAGCAAACTAGACTTGAAATTTTTCTACCGCTTCATATCAAAACAAGGGGAGGTTCTTACCCGTAGACTGGGAGGACCAACTCACAATTTTTGACCTCCTGAAACTTAGGAACTATATGACCGCAGTACATAGAACCTAGCAGCAGAACCAAAACACGCTCAAGGTTCAAGAAGTGGGGAGTTAATTTAGCCTTAAAGAAAAATCTAACTTAACCTCCATATTAACTATGGAACAACATTTAAATTCGAAAATCAGACTTTTTGATTATTTAAACTGTGATTTAAAGCAACCTGATTTTTAAAAATCGTTTATTTTTATTCATCCTGCATGTATTTCATCTGTAATTGCAGGAGCACCAGAAGTAATAAACATCTCTTTATTTACAAGGGTCGAAGCTGACCCAGCAATTGAGAATAGGAGCAGGACTACATCAACATGCATTGGGCTCTCCTGCCCTACTTCACAAGTTCAGAAAAGGTGACAAAAGTGAAGTGGTACCATTACAAATACAAAAAAAATGCAGATGTAGGACAACTCAAATCACAAACATCTTGCAAAAAAACAAGGGATTGCTTGAAAAAAACTTGTCATGATCCACATAAATATTGCAGGTGACACATGTATTGTGTTTTGAGATATTAAGCAAAACATCCCATCATCAAGAAACCTGCAGCTTGGAAATGAATAACAGAATACAAGGTCATAGCATATGACAGACTCTTTACCTCCCATGGAAAGACACCCTATGCTAAAAGTCTCTGTACAGAAATATGCTAGAAACAGGCGGAATGGAAGTACAAGCAAATAGCTGGATTAAAGTGGTCATTTGTCATTCTTAATTATGAGATGCAATGCTCCTAAATTTCAGTCATTACTGAACATTCAGAAATTTTCTTGAATTTCTCAAGTATCTGTTTAAGGAGAGGAAAACCACAAATCATCTAGATGTGGATTTCAAAACAATTCACTGCAGGTTACTCATTCAAGAAAAAAAAAATCCCGGCTGCTGCAGAAAGGTTATGAATATATTTTCTACGGTGTACCATATTGCTTCTCTTTCCGGTCTTCCCAATCTTGTCATGTTTGGAGGCTCATGAAGTCACAGATGTCATTAGCGAGGAAACAAAAAATGTGCTGGGAAGGAGAGGCATTGCGCTCCAAGCTCACTGCATTCAAACACAGGCTTTTTGGGCTGTGTTACCCCTGCAAATGTTCCGTTAGTCCGTCCAGTTGCAACACTGACATTAGTCCTGCTTGCCTTCCCGCCATTGGCGGGAGCCTTCGTTCCAAGCTACGTAGACAAAAAGAGCAAGCACCATGTGAACAGCCACCACAGCAACGATGGCAGCATAAAAATAGCTGTCTCTGTTGGTCATTCCAAAAATGCCTGGGGGGAAAAAAAAACAAGTGGAGGAGTCATTAAAACCTACATCAATGGGCCCCCACTCTTAAACTGCATTTTTGGCCCACCAAAGGCAACGTAAGGCAAACAACATGAATCATGCAGCTATAACTATAGGAGCATTTGGCAAAATAAACTAAAGCCAAATCAAAATAATAGGAAATGCAAAAACAAAGTAAGAAAAGGATATGGAAAAGTTTAAGAATGGCTAAAGCAGAAGCTGTATCTCCCTTCTCCATCTGCCTCTATAAAATCCACTTAATTGTCCACATATGTATGATTCAATTATGCTTTCTAGTTCAAACAATTGCCCCAATCTGGAGCAAGCTAAAAGTGCTGAAGGCAGGGATCCTACTATACTCATCTGTGAGCAAATGCTACTGACTTCAATAGAACTTACTTGTGAATAAACAAATATGGACTAGGCTGTTTCAAGTTTAATAAACTTTGACAACGAAGAAATCTATTTTCTGGCATGTTACATGAAATGACATTTAGCACAGCAGGACCCACTTATCCATGGAATCAGTATCCAATGATTCAATTATCCACGGTCTGAAAATATTAAAAGAAAAATCCTAGAAATATATATTGAAGTTACCAGAACTGGGTGCTAAAGGGAGCCAGAGACCATGCTATTTATAGCCTTATCCATTAACACAGTGTTCACTATAATGCATGCTTTTTTCAGCATCTGGGGAGAAATGACTTTGAATCAATTCCCCCAGGGATATTTGGGGGGGGGGTCGTTACTGTATGTACAACTGCAATGACCATTACCACATGCCACCTGGGTTATATTCCATACTTATTCCTACTCATTCATAAAGCAGCAGACAGAAGTTCCAAAAAGTATGCATGCTGATTGCCTTGTTTTTGTTTAGTGTTACATTTGCAACATGTTTGTAATTGTTATCCTAGAAGTATTTTGGACCGGAAGTTTTGAATATAAGAATAGTAAACAATAAATCTAGGTAACTAATGTTACATACATATGTCTTACTATCCTTAAAGATTACTAAAAAAGTGAATTAGACCTGTAGCTGGTAATGGGTACAACATACCAGGAATAAAATTATTCCTTTAGTAAATTCAGCAATATATGGCAAACTCTTGTGCATACATTTCAAACAAATCCATGAAAACTAGAGAATAAGTTTCAAAATCTGGCTCTTTAGTAAAACTAAATGAAAGTCAAATTACTTCATTCCCACTATTACTATGGGGATGCCTGGAGTTGAAATACTCAGATGTAACATTTCCAACCAAATGAAAGACAATCCCATATTTGGCCAACGGATTTTACATTTGTGGCTAAGTTCTTCCATTACTGGTATCTAACTCACTGTCTGACTCACAGGATAGGATGTGTTTTCAGGCTGCTGTGTTGTGACAACAGCCTTTTCATATAAGAAGTTATATTTAGAAATTTGAAAAAAAAGTGTACGTATTAGGAAATAATAATATAATTTATTGTCATTGTAAGTATATACACAGTATACCCATACAACGAAATTTAGGTGCTTGCTGCAGTTTGCCAGTTGCAAAACATGACCATAAAGATTTGGCCCAGATGAAGAAACGCCAGCTCTACTTCTGCCACAAATAGATACTCATAGACTTGTATAATAAAGCATGATTAGCAGAAGTTTCAAAACAGATAACCTTTTCTTACAATTTATTTTTCACCTGTACAAGGAATTTAACAATGCACAAAAATACTCCTCCTTTAATGCTTTGTTCATTTAAAAATATATATAATCACTGTGCTTCATTTACTGTGATTATTCAAACCCTTATAATTAAAAAAAACTACAGCATTTTTGTTTTCAATATGACCCTCCAAAGGCAATGGAAACAATTAAATATTTTATTTACTTAGAAAGAGAAGCAAATATAAAAGGATGGTGTTTGACAAAGAAAATTACCTTCAAATATGTACGTCTTTGATGAGAAATACAGTCCAATGGGCAACATGATCATTAAAGCTGTGAAGAACAGAAGCGTCCTTAGAGTAGAAGCCAGAGAGCTCTCATTTCTGTAACAAATATGTTACACCAAAGAGTCATCTATCAAATAGTCTTCAACCAAGTTTCATTAAAGGAAAATTATCACTTTTATCAAAAATAAACAAGAAGGTCTGGATTTCTTTTTTGCTACTCTCTACAGTATATTTCTTGGGCTTATACATTAGCCCAGGGATCATAACTGCTTTTCATAGGCAATATTTTAAGACTAGGACAATGAGTTGAAACATGGTAGGAGACAAATATTGTAGCTCCATTTAATGAATGCACTGTAAGGCATTAAAAAAAATTCTCCTGGTTTATCAGCAAAATCAGATTTACTCTAATTTTTTTATATTGTATAAAAGTGCATTCTACTAAAGCACTAGAGCCAGACTTTCTGTGGGATTAATAATTAAGAACTTCTCCACAAACGTAAGTCTGCATTCAGCTTGTCTCAGAATATGCACATACAAATAAATATGGACCAGCTTCTTATCCTGAAATGAACAGGAAATATTCTGCACATAAGAAATTTGTGGAAATCTTCAGAATATCACGTACAAGATGCCTGGATGAGACAAAGGACTGAAATTGGACATGCAATTTATCACTTACAAGCTCTTCTGAAATCAATGATACTTTGCTCAGAAAAGATTAATATTTTGTTTGTTTGCTGTCATTTCTGCTTGCTGTTACAAAAGGAGGAAAGCCACCTATCTAGACTTCAAAATCAACTGAAAACCGCAATATAAACACAACCTTCCTAGAAAACTTTTCTGTTTGGGTGTTGCAGTCGAAGCGCAAGTTAACAATGAAACCTAGTGGAAAACAGGATTTGTTAATTACTACACTGGTATAAAAATAATGCACCCTTCAGTGGCAAAATCTTTTAAGGCCAGGCAAGTTAAACTGACCACATTTGGTCTTAAACATGTAATAGCTCTGACAGCTCATTTCTATCTCAGCTCCCACTGGTTCATACTTGCTTCACTAAATTAGTTGTTTACATCAAAACAAAATGACCTAACCAAGCCTGAGTTTCAAAAGCAGCAAGAATTGACCAGTTTTTTTGACCTTGAAAACTGCCACAAGCTGGTTGCTGTCTGCTCGCACATGGAGGCATTCCAGGCTGACTTTGGCCTGAGTCAATGTGGTAACACCCATTAAAACTTGGTTTCCAACAAGAAAACACATCCTATTGAACCAAACTAAGATGTAATCTAGCTCAGCATTTAGTTTTCTTAGAACCAACCAAAAGCTTCTCGGAAACCCCAAAGGCATAGCCCGAATATTAACACACCTCTGCAACTGTTGCTTCCCAACAAGTAGCACTCAGTGGCAATCTACCTTTAAGCCTATTCGTTTATTTATAGAAAAATCCCACTTTTCACCAAATGATTGTGCATGCCACCAGTCACTGCTAAGCACAGTTACAAGCTTCTCATTAGGGATTTCCCCATTTCCCTACCACCATCTTAGTCCTTATCACTCTGCCTGCTGTAAGATATTGGGGTGTGTGTGTGTGTACAATATTAAGTTGAAGTACTCTACCCTCTGAACTAAATAAGCACTATCCTTGCACACACACACAAAAAGCTAGTTAAGGGCAAAACCTAAATTAGGTCTCTCTCCCTACCCTGCTAATTTTTTTTTTTTTTTTGCAAAACCTTTTTACACACCAAGGAGGAGGTTCCCACACAAATGACTCTTAGCACTACCATTTAAAAAATAAAAAATAAAAAGACTGCAAAGCTGCACAGCGGT